TTAGGGTTTAAGGGTTTGGGCTTTAGGGTTTAGGGTTTAGGGTCACCGCTGCGAGGATAGCTGTGCCAGTCTGGCATACTCGGTGAAAACCTCCCCGCTCCTCACGCAAGCAAGAGGCTGCAACATGCAAAAGAAGTCAAAGCAGCTAAACGGATCGCAACCAACAAGAGTACTACAAAACTACGATAAGGTGTACTGTCAGGGATATATAAGAAACCAAAAAAGAATTCCTGTGTGCTGCAGCCAAGGCTCACTGAGCCCACGCTGCAAAAACACGCTGAACTTTCCTCAGCCAGTCATTCGGCTGCCGTTTTTGTTTCTGAAACTGCTCGTACTACAACATGGGTAGTTCTCTAAATTAGGGTCCCTTTTCGGGTCCTTTCTATAAGGGTGCCGTACTATATTGGGGACCTAAATGGGGACCCTAATTTGGAGAACTGCCCACATTGCACCAGCTACTTTCTGTCCTTCAGGATTGCTTTTTCGCTCGCTTTCATGTTGGCTCCATGGCCAATGTCTGCGGCACCTTTACATTCCTTTACAAGCTCGCAACATGCAACGGGAGACCCTGTGCGTTAGAAGACGCCACGGCGGCTGCACACGAAAATCTGTGCAGCTGTCGTAATGCCGATGCGATTCTATGTACTGTCGTCACTGTTGCCTTCAGCAAGCTCGTGGCTGTGACAACATCTTGTGACAGAGAAGTAGAGTCCAATTCCCACCAGGGCAAGCAGCATATTCACTGCGTAGTAGTACTCAAGGTGGCCGGTGTCTAGATCATCCGGGTAGAGCAGTTTGGATACAATTGCCTTACCCCCACCCCCCAATAAACCCTAAACCCTGAACCCTAAAACCCTAAACCCTTAACCCTGAACCCTAAACCCTAAAACCCTGAACCCTAAACCCTAAACAAGTTGCTGTGAAGGCATTGGAAACAGATCCCGAGAAAAAGAGGTTCACCTGGGCTTTGAAGCAACCAGGGAGAAAAAAGGTATAGACTCTTATTTCATAACGGCTCCTTTAAGGAACAAGTCACAAAATATGTATTAAAGTATGGTACTCCAAAGCCCAGTTCACCGCCTGAAGGAGGGAGCGAACCTCTGGGGGAGCGCTCTCATATGAGAAGCAGTAGAGACACCTGGGTTCTTGTTTAGGGTTTAGGGTTTAGGGTTAAGGGTTTAGGGTTTAGGGTTTAGGGTTCTTGTTAAGGAATCTAACTCAAGTTACCCGAATATACAAACCCTAATATTAATATTTACTATAGATCCCAATTACGGTAACTTGTAGGGGCCTCAATATTTTCAATAGAGTTTTGGGCTTCTTCGCAGGACAAATATAATAAGGATAGGTACTCATTTAGGCCCCTATAGTAACCCTTAAACCCTAAACCCTAAACCTAAAACAAGAACCCAGACACGGGTTTACCAGGATCTCGGCGATTCCCACCAGGATGTAGGGCAGGAAGATCCAGAAGCCGCTGATGTCCCGCATTCGGGTCCCAAATAGCCCATCCTCCGAATAGGGGCTTTAGGGTTTAGGGTTT